TACCACAAACTGGTCATTTAAAACACATTTTTTCTCTCACAGTTCATAAGGCTTGTTGGTGTTGCTACTAGTGACCCTATGCACAACATAACAAAACACTACCTGGTCCTGTCCTGCACCAGCCTCACAATCACTGTTGTGTTTGAGCCCATTGTTGCTGCCATCGTGTCAACCCATCTTGTTAAGGGCCTTCCTCTTTTTCGCAAACCCTTCACTTTACCAAGCATGAATGTCCTTCTCCAAGGACTGGTTCCTGCTGATTATATGTCCAAAATATGTGAGATAAAGTCTGGTCATCCTGGCTTCTAAGGAGCATTCTGAATGTACTTCTTCCAACAGAGATTTATCCACTCTTATGGCAGTCCATGGGACTTACAATATTCTTCCCCAACATAATAGTTCAAATGCATCCATTCTTCTACGACCTTGCTTTTTCGTTATCTAACTTTCATATGCGTATGAGGTAATTGAAATTACTCTGGCTTGGGTCAGGCGCATCTTAGTCCTCAAATTGACATCTTTGCTCTTGAGCACTCTAATGAGATCTTTAGCAGCAGATTTGCCTAATGCATTATGTTATTTGATGGCTTGACGGCTGCTTCCATGAGCATTGATTGTGGATCCAAACAAATTGAAGTCTTTGACAACTTCAGGCTTTTCTCCATTTATTATGTTATTTATTGCTCCAGTTACATTAAGATGCAACCATACTGAAGGCTGTAATCTTTGAATTTCATCAGTAAGTATTTTAGGTTCTTTTCTATAAGGACACCAGTAACTGGAATTAGCATACAACCTCAGACATGTATAACCTCAACTGTATCTCCAAAGACCCTATTTCTAAATAATGTCACATTCTAGGAGAAAACTCCCAAACTCATCTGGGAGTTCTCTCCTAGAATGTTTTGGGTAGACATGAATTTGAAGGAAACACTATTCAATCCACTACATGAGTCCACCCAATTTCAAGATGGACATGAGAAATAAATATGGAAGACAAATTCTCTTTTGAGCTCAAAGGCAAAAGACTCAAAATACAAATCAATCTTAAAAGAGAATCATGAAGGGTATAAGTGCAGTTTAAATGCACACCAGCTAAGTGAGTCCATACTCATACCAAAATTAGTAATAAAAGATTTTAATGAGGTTGAATTTCCTGATGTGGTGCCGTGGGTTAGTGCACTGGACTGTAAAGTCAAGATTTGAACTGCAAGGTTGGTTGGTTCAAACTCACCAGCTGCTCATTGGAAAACCTATACAGGGTTGCTATGGGTCAGAACCAACTTGACAGCACACAACAACAATAATTTAATGGAGCCCTGGTGTGGTGCTATAGGATAAGCACTGGACTGCTAACTGCAAACTTGGTGGTTCAATCACTCCCAGCTGCTCCTTGGCAACCCTACACAGGGTCAGTATGGGTAGGAACTGACTTGACAGCACTTACAACAACACTTAATTAAAGTCAAAATTATAATGTTTGGATGATAGAGTACACATTAAAATGCAGCATACAATAAAACTTTGGAGACTGACCAAGATTGGGCATTCCATCTTCAAGAAAATGCCGAAGTTGCCAAGGACGAAAACCCAGACTCTGAGATAGAAACACATTTCATGTAAGTATTCCCAGAGGAATCACTGGACATTTCTGTCATTTAATCCTCAGGGGGAAAAATTAAACATGGGAAAGCGTGTTATTTGTGAATTGAGATAGTACAATATTTCATTTTTTCAACTTACTTATATAACTAGGAGCCTCTGGACTCTCTGGCATTCTACTTTAGATTTTGGGTACCCCAGAAATGTTTTACAGAATTTCTGTGAACTCTGTACAAGATCAGAGAACTGAGATGTGGACCTGAGTCTTTATCCAGGGACTATGGAAACAGTTGTAATTGTTCACAGGTGGAAGAAGAGAGACAGGCTGGGTTTCAGACCCCTGATACTGAGATGCAATGTCTCATGGCACCATGAGTAATGAGGATCACCCATCATGAGCAAGGATTGTCTTAGTTTCTTAGAGCTACTATAACAGAATCACCATAGTAGGTATCTTTAAAAAAACAGAAATTTGTTTTCTCATAGTTTTGGGATCTAAAAGTCCAAATCAGGGTCTGCGGTATGGTGATTCCTTCTGCAAGCTTCTCTCCCAGTTTCTGGGGTCTGAGTTTACCTGCATAGGGTCTTCACATATCACACGTCTCTGTGTCTATTCTGGTCTTTTAATAACTCAAAAGCGATTAGGTTTAGAACCCACTATGCTGGTTTGATCTTAACTGATCACATTATGGCAAGCGATTACATTACCTTGTTGTTAAATGCCACAGAGTTGGTTCCAACTAATAGCCACCCTGTGTAGCATAGTGGTTACGAATCAGGCTACGAACCTTAAGGTCAGCAGTTCGAAACTACCAGCCGCTCCACGGGAAAAAGATGAGGCTTTCTGCTCCCGTAAAGATTTACAGCCTTGGAAACCCTGTACAGGGTCGCGATGGGTTGGAACCGACTCGGCGGCACTTAACAACAACAATATAGGCTTTCCAAGGAGGGACTGGTGAATTTGAACCCCAAACCTTACTATTCAAACCAGCATCGCAATCAAATCCTTTTCCTATAGCACCACAACATTCATTACCTTAGATTACATTAAACCAATAAAACAAATTCATTGTTAAGTCAATTCATACTCATGACAACTCCATGTGTGTCAATTCATACTCATGACAACTCCATGTGTGTCCAAGTAGACCTGCATTTCATGGAGGTTTCCACAACTGTAATCTTTATGGGAGTAGATAGCAAGCCTTTCTTTTTTGGTACCTTGGGGTGGGTTTGAACTTCTAACCTTTAGATTAGCACCACCCAGGGGCCTTCACATTACATTAGATTTAAGGCCATTACATTATATTTACATTGCAGGCATTACATTACATCACATCACATCACATCACATCACATCACATCACATCACATCACATCACATCACATCACATCATGTTACATTGAGGGAGGTAATTTGCTCTCCCAAAAATGAACTGATTTTAGTACACATAACTATTCCATAATAACACTTAAACTAGTGTTTGGTCAGGTACCTGGGGACCATAGCCTAGCTGAGTTGACACATAAAATTGACTGCCACAGGGTCAATTTATTTCCTAAAGGAATTTTGTGTCTCATAAAAATTAAGGACAGTAGCCAAGATACTTCTAATTGTCCTCCAGAGCCTAGAATACCCAGAAACAAGCTACCTTACAGGTGTGTAATCCTTGAATGATTCAAGTTACAAAGTTCTAGAAGATATAAAGTGATATATAGATCTTGATATAACATAAATTTGCTTGGCCTATTGTTGTTGTTAGGTGCCATTGAGTCAGTACTGACTCACAGCGACCCAATGCACAGCAGAATGAAACATTGCCCCAATCCTGGGCCAACTGCACAATTGTTGCCACGCTTGAGCCCATTGATGCTGCCACTTTACCAATCCATTGCGCTGAGGGTCTTCCTCTTTTTCTCTGACCCTCCACTTTCCAAACATGGTATCCTTCTCCAAAGACTGGTCCCTTCTGACAATATGTCTGAAGTATGAGGGACGAAGTTTGGCCATCTTGACCTCCAAGGAGCACTCTGGCTGCACTTCTTCCAACACAGATCTGTTGGTTCTTTTGGCAGCCCATGGCACTTTCAATTGTCTCCTCCAATAACTCAAAAGCATCGATTCTTCTACTTATTCACTGGCCTAATTGGGGCGGGGGGGTGGGGGGAACTGTTGCCTGAATCTACTAAATGATCTTTAATCTCAACTTTTAATTTCACATCTGAAAATGTTTAAATCTTATTTTGAAGTTAAAAGGGTCTTAAATCATTACTTACTTTATCTTTTTCTGTAGGGTAAGCAAATACTGCTAACTGTAAGGTCGGTAGTTTGAACTTACCTTCTGCTTCTCTGGAAAAATATGAGGCTTTCTGCTCCCATAAAGATTTACAGCCTTAGAAGGGTTGTTAGGAGTTGGAATCTCCTCAATAGCAGTGGGTTTGTTTTGGGTTTATTCATTGTATACACCTCCATGTGCAAATTTGTATCTGCTCCTCAAAGGCCACAGAAGCAACCAGCATAAAGTACCAACATTCCTAATGCACTGGTAGGGAAAATAAAAAAGCAAACTTTGAACCCACAGCCATATCTTCTATGCAGGGTAAAGCTGTGACTGGAACTGTTTCAAAGAATTCCTCATTGCTCTGAAGTTCACTGAACAGACAGAGAAGAAGACACATTAAAAGAGCAAGAATTTGGAAAGACACAGTAGGAAACTCCTACTGAGCAAAGAGCTCATGACTGCTTGTTAGATATTTGGAACAGTAACAGTGACAATGTTACTGAAAGTGAGCACTGCTGCCAGATAGTAGTCTTCCACTGTTATATTACTGCCAAGAAAAATTACTACACGTCATTTGATTTTTGAATCCAAGAACACAGCACCTTTAGTACTTTACTCCACCCATACCATTGCTCTGGTAGCGTAGGGGTTACGAATCGGGCTGCGAACCTTAAGGTCAGCAGTTCGAAACTACCAGCTGCTCCGTGAGAGAAAGATGAGACTTTCTACTCCCGTAAAGATTTACACCCTCGGAAACCCTGTACAGGGTCGCTATGGATCGGAGCCGACTCGATGGCACTTAACAACAACAACAACATACTATTGCTCTAACGAAAACAAAAGTAGATACAGTGTCTTAGTTATCTAGTGCTACAATAAGCAAAGTGGGTGGCTTTAAAAAACAAAAATCTATTTTCTCAGAGCTCTAGAAGTTAAAGTCTAAGTAAATAATGGGCCATGGGAATGTCAGTGTCCATGATTCTGAGATCAGAAGAACTAGATGGTGCCCAGCTACCACAACCAAATGCTCTGAAAGGAATCACATTAGAAGGGCTATGGAAAGAGTGGGACAAAATGTGGGACAAAACTCAAAATCATAAAAAAGACCAGGATTACTGGTCATCTCGAGATTGGTGAAGCCCACAGACGATGATTTTCGGTCCCTTGTCATGTCTGAAACTGATCTCATCCTCAGGATCAATTTTCAGGTAAGCAATAGAAAGGTATATAGGGAGAACAACACTAGTGAGATTCCCACACCCTAGAATGGTCAACCATTCAAGATTAAAAGGGCAGCATTTCCCTCAGGACAAGGCTCAGAAGGATGGGGAAAGAAGGCAGAAACAGGAGACACAGGGAGGAAGAGGGATGAGTGATTGAGGGGGTTACAATCATTGAGATTGCATGAAGTGTATAATTTGATGAATGTAAAACTGATGATCTGCTCTGTAAACCTGCTATCAATTCACAATAAAAAGCTATTTTTAAAAAAAGTCTAACTCAGGGACTCAGCCATATTGATTCCTTTCCTGAATCTTTCTCCTAGTTCCTGGTGACAGCTGGCAATGATTGATATAAAACATCACTCATAAGGGATTAGGTTTAAGACTCACCCTACATTTGTTGTTGTTGGTAAGTGTCATCGAGTCAGTTCCAACCCACAGCGACCCTGTGTAGGCTTTCCGAGGAGCAGTGAAGTGGGTTTGAACTGCTGACCTTGTGGTTCCCAGTCTAGTGCTGATCCTACAGAACCACACCAGGAGTTTCCTACACTAGAATTACTTCATTAATATAACAAAATAAAACTCGATTCCTAAACAGCGTCATGTATACAGGTACAGGATTTAGGGTTTCAACATACATTTGGGGAGTGGGGAGGTTGGGGCACAATTCAATCCATATCAGATATGTAGATGTTTTCCTGGCCATATTCTTGATATTGTTGAAGTAGTTAGAAATCATACTGGAGAGACTAAATATGAAACAAACTGGGCATAAAAATACAATGAGCACTGTTTAAACAGAACTGAAAACAGGAATTTAGAGAGAGCTTGATTACACAATGATCATAAATTGCAAATGCGACTTTAATACTAACTTGTTTCTTTACTCTGCAACTTTAGTAAGACTGTGTAAATTAGATAATGCTTCAGGACAACGCCTATCAGCAATATAATTAAAGTTGGGCAAAAATGTAAGAGACAGGATGGTATCTATTAGTATTATCACATAATACAATTGGGTTCTAAGAGATGAAGCGCCATATCACCACCTTGAAATGAAAAACTTGGATTTTCTTTTTGTGTACATCTAAGGCTTGGGTTTTTTGTTAAAGCAACGTTGCAAGTCACGCCTCTCACTGTGCAATTTTCTTTGCTCCTTAGAAGTGAAATGAATTGGTTTGCAGTGGGATTCAATTACTAGGGACACATTTCATTTTCAAATCTGAACATTTTTGCAAAGATGTGATATTTTTAGAAAGCCTCCTGATATTTCTTTTTCAGAAGCACGTCCAATTCTATTGAAATATCAATGACAAAAAATCAAAAACCGCAAATGTAAATGTTTATAATAAAGCCATATATGGGTATGTTTTATTGTTTTAAAGAAAACAAAATAAATATAATTTAAGACAAGCAATAGAGATTGTGTTGAATATTTCATTTTTGTTTTATAGAAATGAGGAAATCCTATTGTGTGAATACTAAACATCTTGAGAATGTGCACATCTTTTGACCTAGCAATTTTATTTCTAGAAATACACCCTCAAAAGAATTGCTTGAAATGTGTGCAAAGATGTGCATTCAAATACATCCATTATAGCTTTACTTTAAATACGGGATAGCAAATAATAGCTTTTTGATAATACAGTAAAAAGGATAATACAGTAAAAAAAAAAAAAAATCTTTGCTGACTGACTAACAGAGTACATCCATCTTTAAGATATAACATGTTGTCATTAAGTGCCGTTGAGTCAGTTCTGGTTCATAGTGACCCTATATAGGGTTTCCTAGGAATAGCTGGTGATGTAAACTGCCCATCTTGTGGTTTACAGTCCAATGCTTATCCTGCAGCACCACACTAGAACTTCAAAGAGATAATATAGCTATATAGATACAGCAAATAATAGCAAATTACTGGGGGGAAATCTAATTGTCAAACAATACACCAAAAAACTAGTTGAAGTTGAGTCAACTTACTCAAGGTGACCACATGTGAGTCCAAGGAGCCCTGTGCTTCATACAGTTTCTAATGGTTGGTTTTTGGGTTTTGGTTTTGACTTTTTTATGAAAGTAGGCCACTTGGCCTTTCTTCCAAGGCACCTTGGGATGGACTCAAACCTTTTGGTTAGCAGCCAAATGTGTTAACTGTTGATACTACCCATGGACTCTCATCAAAGTAAAATAACTCCAAAAAACAGTACTTTACAGTTGTACTGCGATAGCAAAGAATATTTGTGGTCATGGAGAATATTATAATTCTCAAGGAAACATAGTATAATGGTATCTTTAAATAGTAAAGAGGTTTAATGGCACTGTGGTTAAGTGTTTGGTTGTTAACTCAAAGCTTTCCAGTTGGACTGTACCAGCAAGAACCTACCAATGATTTTGAGGGAGAAAGATATGGCAGACTGCTACCATAAAATTACCAAAAATCAAAACAAAAAACAACCTGTCGCCACTGCAGTGGTTCTATGAGAACAAAGTAGAATTGCCTCATGGGGTTTGCAAGACTGCAATTCTTCACAGAAGCAGACTTTCACATGGAGCTGCTGGTGTATGCAAGTCACTGACATGTCAGATAGCAGCCATGCACTCAAAAGCAGAGTGCCTCTGGGGCTCCCCAAAAAGACTGGTGGTGGTGGTAGTGGTTCTATGCCATCAAGTCAGTTCCAACTCATGATGATTGGTGATTGTGTGCCACCAAGTCAGTTCCGACTCATAGCGACCTATGATTACTGAGGCTGTAAATCTTTATGGAAGCAGAAAGCCACATCTTTCTTCCACAGAGAGACTAATAGATTTGAACTGCTGACCTTGCTGTTAGCAGCCCAACTCATAATCCACTATGCTACCAGGACTCCTTGTTCCAACTCATAGCAACCCCATGTAGGGTCTCTGAGGTTGTAAATCTTTACAGAAACAGAAAGCCTTATCTTTCTCCTGCAGAGTGGCTGGTAGATTAAATTCTTCATCTTGAAGTTAGAAGTCAACTCATAACCCACTGTGCTATCAGGGCTCCCCAAGGGAATCAGCTCAATGGCCAAAGGGCTTGGTTTGGAGTTTTTAATTTTGATTTGTTTTTTACTTGTAGAAGTAAGCACTGAGAGAGAGGCAGGGCTTGATGTTGGCTAGGGTGGAGGTGCAGTGAGGTTCTCCATCAGCAATACCACAGAGCAGACAACTTGGGAGAGACCAAATGTCAAGACCAAGCAGGGGAACAGATACACCACGGGAAAAAGCTGCAGGAACCTTGGAGCAAAGGTGGACAATACACTTTGCAGTTTTGCTTTGTTCTGATTTTCTTTTGTTTGGTATCTGTTCATTGGCCCCCCACTGTTTGTGCACTTCCATTCTGGTGACTAGTGGGGGTGCCTGAGCAAGTGGACCCCGCCCCCACCCACACCACTGGTGGGTTCTTCTGCCACACATACACACAGATACTCTCAGCCCAAAGCCGGCACTGAACTTTTAAAAAAAAAATACAGAAAAGCCAGAACAATGGGTATGGAGAGGGAAAGAGAGTTTAAAAAGAAAACAGGCTGAAATTTAAATTAAATCCTGAGGTACAGCATAACAGCCAACAGTGGCATCTTCAAATCTCTCAGGCAGCTTTGAAGGCAAGAAGCTGAAAGAGGACATTAAAGTCATACTCATATTAGGTGACAGATTTTTTTTTTCTTCTTCTCTCCCTCCTCTCCCTTTTCTGCGATTATAGATTACAATATCCAGTCTAGTTTTTTGTTGTTCGTGGTTTGTTTAGGGGTTTTTTTTTTTGCTGTTGCTGTTTTATGCTCCCCCTTCTACATTTGGGGGACTCTTTCTCTCCCTATATTACCCAAGAAGAGACAGCAACTGCTGTCATATAGTCAAGCAACAATCACACTCCATAAAACAAGAAAATCCAGGCAAGAACCAATACCAACTGCCATATACCAGGGAGGCAGACAACACCTGTGAAAGTTACTCTGAGTTAAGCAATAAGAAGAGTAAAAAGGGAA